ATATATACGTGGCTCGCCCAGGATGATACCAACACAACCTATGCTCAGAGTATGGATCCTGCATTGATGACAGTGTCCGATTTCCGTGATGGTACCGTTTCTGTAGGCTGTGTTGTTGCCGTGTTGCCCAGCTGCCTGCTCGCCCGAGTTGAAAATGCACGGTGTTTACTCTGCGTTCAAGAAGATCGGTCCCATATCTCGAATACGAACCAGTCGAGCCTCGATTTGGAATCGCGTGAAGCGACAGCTTCTGGCGCACAGAACCGAGTTCGCCAGCATCAATGGCACCACAGTGCTGGACGCACTGCCGCCCGACGCTCTTCCCAACTTGCAACTACGCGCGGTTGTATCATGGCGTCCTTGGGCGTTCCGTCGCCGACGTTTTATCGTCTCCTCTCGTTTGTTCCTTTGCAAAGCTCGTCAGGTTGCCACGCACTCGCGTTTGTATCCGGATAAAACCGACGCTTCATGATCGCAGGTTGTGATTGCATGTTTGTATGGTATACAAACAACAAGGTTGGGGGCGGCGACGCGTCGCTGGAATATATTGCAATATTTCGATTTCGACCGACCGGAAATGGCAGCTCGGCGCGTGAACCAAGGCCCGAAGCGCGGGTCCAAGACGTACGAGCGGCCGGGCCTGAGCGAGGAGGAGATCGAGGAGATCCGCGAGGCCTTCAACCTCTTCGACACGGACGGCTCCGGTACGATCGACCCGAAGGAGCTCAAGGCCGCCATGCAGTCGCTGGGCTTTGAGGCGAAGAACCAGACCATCTACCAGATGATCGGCGACATCGACAAGGATGGGAGCGGCTCGATCGACTTTGAAGAGTTCCTGGACATGATGACGGCCAAGATGAGCGACAAGGACTCGCGCGACGACATCCAGAAGGTCTTCAACCTCTTTGACGACGACCAGACGGGCAAGATCTCGCTCCGGAACCTCAAGCGCGTCGCCAAGGAGCTTGGCGAGACCATGTCGGACGCCGAGCTCCTCGAGATGATCGAGCGCGCCGATAGCGACCAAGACGGCGAGATCAACGCCGAAGAGTTCTACTCGATCATGACCAAGAAGACCTTTACGTAGCTTTTGTTTGCCTGCTATCCTAATACCACCCACGTAGTACATACGTCCTCCTCCATGGGTCGACGGCAGCATGCGCCGGGACGCTGCGTCCATGGCCAGCGTCGCCGATGGCAATATGGGGATCGCAAGGTTGGGTGGAATATCCTTCGTGCCGGATACGATATCCGGACGATAGCCGTCCTGCCCAGTCGAAACAAGCGACTAGATGGCTTGTCCCAATGAACTACCCATTTTGCCCAATATGCCGACAACGATAGTATATAAATGTGCACGGTGCATCGGTATCTGGTTATCCGGATGGGACAAAGAGGTTTAGTCGGTGTCTCGACTATGACCGGCTGTATTTTTCGGCCGGGACAGCAGCAACATGAGCGGCGTCGTGCTGGCGAGCGCAGGCTATGACCACACGATCCGCTTCTGGGACGCAGCCTCCGGAACATGCAACCGCACGGTCAAGTACCCCGACTCGGTGCGTGTCCATTCCTCTCGCGCGCGCGTGCTCATGCCTGCTATAGCAAGTCAACTGCCTCCAGATCACGCCCGACAAGAAGTACATTGCGGCTGCCGGCAACACGCACATTCGCCTCTTTGAGATCAATAGCAACAACCCGAATCCCGCGACGAGCTACGATGGCCACAGCGGCAACGTCACAGCCATTGGCTTCCAAAAGCACGGCAAGTGGATGTTCAGCGGCTCGGAGGATGGCACGATCAAGATCTGGGACCTGCGGTACTTCATCCTAGCGCTGCATGCACTCGCTGATATGCATCTCTTTCTAGCGCGCCAGGCTGCCAGCGCAACTACGAGTGCCCCGCGCCCATTAACTCGGTCGCGCTGCATCCCAACCAGGTACGACTCACGAATGCTACAGGCACATGGGCCACACGGACGTGTAGGCCGAACTTGTGTGCGGCGACCAGAACGGCTGCGTGCGCGTCTGGGATCTCACGACCAACACGTGCTCGTCCAAGTTTATGCCGGACGGCGACCACGCCGTGCGCAGCGTGGACCTGGCCCGCGACGGGCGCACGCTCGTGGCCGCCAACAACAAGGGCAGCGTCTTTGTCTACACGCCCCGCGCTTCGTGCGTTCATTTCTTTATGAATTTGCTCAGCGGTATCGATGAGTTAGGGACAACTATGAGCTCCGCGAGACGTTCCACGCCCACAACGAGTACATTTTGAAGGCGCGCATCTGCCCCAACGTCCGGTTCCTTGCTACGTGCTCGGCCGACAAGACAGTCAAGGTCTGGAACATGATGGACATGTCGCTCGTGCACACGTTGCAGGGCCATCAGCGCTGGGTGTGGGACTGCTCCTTCTCGGCCGTCTCGTCGTACCTCGTCACGGGTAGATCTGATTTCGTTGCACTTTGAAATGATATGACGTGGCATGCTCCTAGCGTCGTCGGATCAAACGGCCCGGCTCTGGGACCTCAGCTCGGGCGAGACCATGCGGCACTACAACGGCCATCACAAGGCCGTCACGTGCGTGGCCCTCGACGACAGTGTGGTCGACAAGGAGAGATAAATCCGATCGTAGTTGCGACCACTGCAATACATCAACACGTGCAACCGTCGACTTGCGCTTACTTTTGAAAATGGCGAGCGACAAAGAGCGCCATCGCAGCGTACGCATCGGCCGCTGCCGCCGTGTACCGGAGCATCGCGGGGTAGTTGTGCAGCTTGTGCGGGTGGCAGAGTTCGGCCACGTCGACGTTGGCGGTTTTGGCTTTGGCCACAAACGCGCGAATGTCATCTTCCATGAGTTCATAGCCACCATAGACAACCTGTCCAACAATTATGTCTGCAACGAGTTGAACAGGCGATGCAAATACATACCATAAGGGGCGGGAGGTTGTCCAGTGAATGAAAGAGAGGTGACGCGCGCGTCAGGTCTTCGGGCGCGGCGTACAAGTCGCGCCAGCTTGTGATCGTCGACCTATTGTTGTCGCCTCAGCAAACAGCAGTGGAATCGATCGAGCTACGGGCGAAAGACGTCGGTGGCAGCGTTGCGCGTGTACGAAGGCGCCGTGCCGGCGACGTCCACCCACGGCGAGAGCAAGATGGCTCCCACCGGGCGAGGCAAGTTGCAACGAACAATGTGCTGGAGCAGTAGCGCCGCGAGATTCCCGCCCGCCGAGTCACCGACGACAAGGATTGGGCCGCTCGTCGCGGCGCGCAGCCACTCGTACGCCTACCCCGGTTCCATGTGTTGATAAGCAAGTGCAAAATGGTCTACCGCAACGGTTTGCTCGAGCTGGTGCGGGTACTTGAACTCGGGTGCGAGGTCGTACTCGAGGCTAAAGACCCGCGCGCCAATGTCTATGGCACGTAGCGCTTGGAGGAGCGGCTGGATGATGTCGCAGCTCTGCGTCGTCGCGGACCCGACGACAAATCTAGCAATGCGGACAAGTTGTCATTGGGTTGTAGTGGCGGCGACCGACCCGCCGCCGTGGATGTAGAGGATCGTAATGTTATGATTCCAGTTTCTCTTGCTCGGGCAGCCATCGTACCACAAGCCTAAGGTATTGGATGGCATCCTCCAGAAAGGAGATGCGCGGACATACCTTTGACGTTTGGGGTATCGACGACGGACGTCGGCCTATGACACTTAGTGTTGCCCAATACAGAACGAATCGAGGATATTACCGAAAGACGAGGCGCTGGAGACGGCCGTAGACGTTAAAGTTAAAGCGGACGCAGCCATGGGAGAGCGCTGTTTGCGACCGAAGCACGCGCGCCACGAGCGCGTCCAAGAACGGCTGGTTCGGGTCGCGCGGGCAACAGAGCACAAGCAGCGGCGCCACGAGGCCATGGACCACCAGCCACACAAGCGACGCGACGTTGGCTAGCATCGACATGGCCCAAATCAAAAGTTCAAATG